GGTGTCCCCACTGCTGGCCCAGCCTACTCTCTAATGCTCTTCCATCATCTTTTACACAGGTCCTCTGCACACACTGCACCCACTGCCTCGTAAGCTTCTCTTTCTCGTCTCTTCTTGGTAAACTCCTACATATTCTTCAATACCCACTTGCATGTCTCCTTCTCTGGGTCTCCGTCTGGCAGAACTTGAAATTCCCTTCTCTGTTATGGCATGGAAACCCTGGTGGCGTAGTGGTAAATTGATACAACTGCCAACCAAAGACTGCTAACCAAAAGGTTGGCAGTTCAAATCCACCAGGCGCTCCTTGGAAACCCTATGGGGCAGTTCTACTCTCTCCTATAGGGTAGCTATGAGTCTGAACTGACCCAACGGCAACGAGGTTGGTTTTTGTGTGTGTGTGTGTTTTTTTTTTTTTTTGTTATAGCATGTCTCATAATGTTGTAAGTGATGCATTGAAGTATTTCCTCTCTCCTGTACTTGGCAATAAGTTTTTGGGAAGAATGTGGAGGGATACAGATATCTGTCACTTCGCAGGGTGTGTGCATGTGTGGATTTCACACAGAATCCACTCAAGAAATATCAATTGAGACCTAACTAGATACCAGAGGCATTGGTGGGTCAGTGATAGAATTCTCACCTTCCATGTGAGAGGCCGGGGTTTGATTCCCACTCAGTACACCTCGTGTGCAGCCACCATCTGTCAGTGGAGGCTTGAGTGTTACTATGATGCTGAACAGTTTCAGTGGAGCTTCCAGACTAAGACAGACTAGGAAGAAGGGCCTGGCAATCTACTTCTGAAAATCAGCCAATGAAAACCCTATAGATCACGACAGTCTGATCCACAACCAATCATAGAGATGGCATAGGACCAAGCAGTGTTTCATTTTGTTGTGCTTGGGGTTGTCATGAGTTGAGGGCAGATGCGACAGCAGCTAATAACAACAACTAGGTACCAGGCACCATTCTAGGCATCGGGAGTATAGCAGTACGTTAACAAAGTCACGGCTGTGTGTGTGTGTGTGTGTGTGTGTGTGTACAACACTGTGCACTTACCTGTGTCAGTGTGGCCTGTATGTAACACTGTGCACACATGGGACTGTGTTGTGCTTGCTTGTGGAACTGTGGTGTTTGTGGCTCCTGGGCATGCTGTCCAGTGAATTCCAACCCCGTGTGATCTGCTGATAACGGACATCTTGAAGTTAATTAGGCCAACAGGCTGTGTCTGAGCACTCCTGAGAAACCCTCCCCAGGCACCCCTGCCTGCCCTCTCCCGCCTCCCCATGCACTATCTGCCTGGCTGGGGTTTTGCCTTTTTAACCTGAAGACAACATCCATCCAAATGAGATTTTCTCTGGTGAGTATGTCTGTCTCCCCCTCCCTTCTCTCCCTTCTCACGTCTCAGAAAGAAAGGGTGTAGGAATAAGGAAAAGGGGAAGAAATAGCAATTTTTTTGAGTCCCCGCCATGTGCCAGGCCTGTGCTGGCCAGTTTGCATACGTAACAGGTAATCCTATAAAGGGCTCCTCTGTGCCAGGCACCATCCTAGGCACCTGACCTGGGTTAGCTCAGCCTGTCAGCACGTCAGCCCTACAAGGTGGGCGCTCTTCTTTTCTCCACTTTACAGATGAGACACGGAGGCATCACAGAGCAAGCAAGCTGGGACTCAGGCCCCATGGCCTGTGCCCTCAATCACTGCACTGCCTCAAGCCCACCGTGGTCTCACAAAACCCCTCAGAGGCTCCATGTACGTGTTATTGTCTCACTTTACAGAGGAGGAAATAGGTTTAAGTAAACTGGTCAAAATCAAAATGGAGCAGAGGTGAGATTCAAAGCCAGGGCTATGAGTTCCATATGCAGGAGTGTGGGGATCCAAATTAGGGCTGTGAGATTCCAGATATACAGGTGTCAGTTTCCAGAAGTAGGGTGTGGGGCTCCAGATGCAGGGTTTGGGGGATCCACATTTGGGGTGTGGGATTCCAGATATAGGGGTGTCAGGTTCCAGCTGTAGCAGTGTGAAGCTCTAGATGTATGTATGTGGGGTTTAGATATAGGGGTGTCAGGTTCCAGATGTAGAGTTGTGGGGTTCCAGATGCAGGAGTATGGAGCCCCAGATTTAGGGTGGTAGGGATCTGGACTAGGGGAATGGGATTCCAGATATACAGGTGTCAGTTTCCAGATGTAGCAGTGTGGAGCTCCATATACTGGTGTGTGGGGTACAGATATAGGGGTGTCAGGTTCCAGGTGTAGGGGTGTGGGGTTCCAGATGCAAGAGTGTGGGGCTCCAGATGCAGGGTGAAGGGCTCCAGATGCAGAGATGTGTGATGCCAGATGTAGTTATGTGGGGTGTCAGATGTAGGGGTATGGTGCTCTAGAGGCAGGTGTGTGGGGCTCAGATACAGAGGTGTGAGGTTCCAGAAGTAGATGTGTGGGACTGCAGGGGTGTGTGGCTCCAAATGCAGATGTGTGGGGCTCCAGATGCAGGGGTGTGGGGATCCAGATACAAGAGTGTGAGGCTTCAGATGCAGTGTAGGGGCTCCAGATGCAGATGTGTGAGGTTCCAGATGTAGGGGCATGAGGATCCAGATGCAGATGTGTGAAATTCAGATATAAGGGTGTGGGGATCCAGATGCAGGGTGAGGGGCTCCAGATGCAGTGTTGTGGGACTTCAGCTACAGATGTGTAGGGCTCCAATCATAGACAGGGAAGGAAGATTGGGGATGGGCATCCAGGCAGAGGGTACTCATTGGGCAAAAGCAAGTGGGCTGGAGACAGAGTTTGGGAGTCATCGAGTTTGTGAAAATAATTGAAACCATGAGAATGGAAAACCATAGAGAGAGAAGAACCTGACAGTGGCCCATGGAAGCCAGAGAAGGAGTCCCAAGAAGAAGCAGTGCAGAATTTCTGGAGAGGGTTGAGACAGCAGGGCCTGCCTCAGCTCCTCCCCCACAAGCTTGAGATGGGAGATGAGGAGAGTCAGAGTGGACCTGTGTCTCCTCAGAGAGGCTGCCAGAATTCTGGGCCCAGCACCCTGGGTGGGGTGAACCCCTTGGTTTCCTGGCACTCATCAGAGGCAGCCCAGCCAATGACAGTGCCAGTAGCTTCTCCTCCGCCTGGGAGGCCCAGCACACCCCAGCCACTGCCAGGTGGGTAGGCTCTGTCCCAGGAAGCTGCTTCCCCAGAAACCCTCCCTGGTCTGACATGAATTCCAGCTGCCTGCCAATTCCCACTGCAGCTGCCAGGAGTCGGTACCTGGAGAGCCCTGAGGAGTAGCCGATCAGGTAAGGGCATCTGTGTCCAGATGTGGCCTGCCCTCGGCACACCTGGAGGGGAGACTTCTTGGATGGGGAGTGGGGGTGAGGGGGCTGGGCACATCTGCTACCCTGGGTCCAGATGGTGGAGGAATGAAGGGCTCCCCTCTCTCTGCTCTGAGTTCTTCCTGCTATCCCAGCCGGTGAAGGCGAGAGCCAGGGACTGAGGAGAGGGGCGCAGAGGGAGGAAGGAGCCAAGAGGAAAGACAGCTCTGCCTGGGCCTGCACAGCGCCGCCCCACCCCATGTGGGCAGTGCCAAGAGCCCCGGGGGCTGGGGGTCGGGGCCTCCCTTGGGCATACCCTGAGAAGCTGGCACTTGGAACGGTGTTATATATCCCTTAGAGCACATGGCTGGGCAGACAGGCTCCCTGGAGCCCTGGGGTGCACAGCATGGTGAGGCCACTGCACAGGGGCCCCCTGGACCCCTTCAGGTACCAGGCAGTGGAATCCCAGCTGAGAAAGTGGGCACCCCTTGCTCTGCACAGCAGTCATACTCCTTAAATAGAGGTTTAAATCTGCGGAAGTCCCCAGGAGAACTGGCCGGAGCAGCACTTCCCATTTTGCTGTCCTGACAAGGCTGTCCCACAGGATGATAAAGGATGCCTCAGGAGAAGGGCTCTGTGGTAAAGGCGTTTGGGCAGTACCACATATTCCGTCCTTCTTGTGGAGATTCACAATGTGAATTTACAAGCATGGTCAAGTAAATGGACCTATCTCGCTTTGCTGAACCCAGTGTTTGCCTACTTTTCCTGACCATAGAGTCCTTTCACCATTCCTATGACCAGCCTATCAAACACCAGTTTAGGGAACACTGGAACACCAGCCCGCTCTAAAGAGAACTCTTGCTCCTGACTTCATCCCTCAGCTAGTTGCCTCTGGTCTTGTCTCAAGTGAGTTCCCCCGAGCAGGACACTGCCTGGGTATTTACATGAGTCCTAGACCAGATGGGATTTGGGGGACTTTTTTCCAGCCTCCTCTTCAGCCCCAGTCCCCAAGCCAAGTAAAGGCTTAAAGAACTGGTTCCCCTGTGGAGGGGGCTGTCCAAGTGGGAGAGCTGTGCTCACAGAGGGAAGAAGACATTATCCCAAGACTCAGCCTCCTGAGGAGACAGGCCACGGTTGGGGCAGAGGGAAAAGGCAGATCCACCTCCATAAATTGTCACTGTGCAGGACAGCAAGGCCAGCACCCTGGGCCCCGGAAGGACAGGGTGGCTCCCTGGCCCCCCTTGACCCACTTTTATGGCTAAGAGTTGGGTTCTAGATATAAATTATCTGTGCTCAAATCACAACTCAGTGCCTAATAGTTGTGTAACCTTGTATATCCATTCTGAACCTCAGTTTCCTCTTCTGTAAAATGGGGACAAGAATAGAACCTAGATCCTAGGGTGGCTATGAGGGTTAAATATGATGATATAGTCCTATAAAGTGCTCAGAGTGAGCATTCTATAAATGTGTGCAATTCTTATTATCATTTCCCTGTAGTGGCAGCTGACGCTTGGGCCCACCATGAACTGAGGGATCTTCGAGGGGCCCCTGAGTGGGGTCAACAGGTACTCCACAGCCTTTGGGAGCATCTGGCCATCTCTGGTCTTCATCTTCTGCATGCTGGTATACCTGGTGACAGCCAAGCCCGTGTGGAACAACGACCACAAGGATTTCAACTGTTAACATCCGCCAGCCTGGCTGCGCCAACATGTCTGGCAGCCACGAGAGCCCGGGCCCCACAGAAGGGGCATTCCTCAGACTTTGCCACCTCATCCTGCAAGCAAGACGACCTCCTCTTGGGTGACCTCATCTTTCTGGGCTCAGACACTCACCCTCCTCTCTTACCAGACCACCCTCAGGACCACATGAAGAAAACCGTTCTGTGAGGTGCTGCCCGGACTGTGCTGACAGGTCGGGGCTGGAACTGGAAGGTCAGCAGTATCCCTGCCTACAGCGATGGGGCGCCCATCGGTGAATGCGGTGATGGGGTGCAGCCTGGGTGGTACGAGGAGCTGAGCCACGAGTTGGGAGCAGGAGAGAAGGAGAAGTCAGATGCCTAGGATCAAATCCTATTCCTCCACTCCAGCCATTGGCCCCAGCTGTGTAGCCTTGGGCAAATTACTCCTCTGCTCTGCACCTCAGTTTCTTTTCCTGTAAAATGGACATACTGATGCCCACCTCACAGGGCTGTTGTGAGGGACATTTAACAAGAGAACATACATGCAAGTGCCTTCCGTGTGTGGCCCATGGTCAGGGCTTAATAAAAGTCTATTCATTCACTCATTCAAGGTGTCCTTTGGTCCTTTGATATTTGTGACCTTTCTCAGGTCATTGCATCAATTCCTCTGATTCTGCAAAGGGCTGTGCTTGATCCAGCCAGATGAGGAGCCATCCTCTCCTCAAGAAAAGGAGTTCCCAGCACTCCTGGGAACCATGCTACTTGCCCATACTCAAGTCTAGCCCTTCTCCCCAGGTGCAGGTATAGGCCCATGGCTTGTCTCAAAAGAGAATGGAGTTCAGTCCGTGGCGGCTCTGGGCTGCAGGGGAACGCACAGGGTCTTCAGACACCTGATTTCTATCCAAGTTCCACTGGGACTGTAGGAAAGTACTTTCAGCTTCTCTCAAAAAGGAGGTTGATATACCTACCCCAAGGTGTGGTTGTGAGGCCAGGATGAGCTCATGCCTGTGGAAGGGTTTAGCCAGCTGGGAAAGGCCACATAAACGTTAATCACTGGTATTAGGAAGTGCTCAGCCCCTCCCTAGCTGCACATTAACCTTCACTGTCCTGAGGGTGGGACAAGTCCTTGACCCTCTGAGCCCCCATTGGGACACTCTCCTAAGAGCAGCCCAAGCTCAGCAGAAAGCAAAAGTCCTCAAAAATTTCCCCACCAGGGTGGGATGACTTCCTGAGCTGAACCCAAGTTGTCCCTGTCCATAAATGTCAGAACCAGGATTCCAGAGAAAAGCTCTGAAGGAAAAAGAAAGGTCTGGAGGCGTGGCAGGGGAGGGTGTGGGTGGTGATAAGGCAGTGGGAAAGTAGAGGGTGATCCCATTGTTGCTGACCTGGGCCTGGGTGTGAGGATACCAAGCTCCTGCCCCCCTCACTGAGGTCGCACCCATTGTTATGGATTGAATTGTGTCCTCAAAAAATATGTGTTGTAAATCCTAAGTAATCCCATTTGGGAATATGGTTTTCTTTGTTATTTAATGAGACCATATCAGTGTATAGGGTCGCTATTGGTCGCTATGAGTCAGAATTGACTCGACAGCAACGGGTTTGGTTTTTTGTTGGTTATATCAGTGTAGGGTATGTGTTAAGTCAATCACATTTGAAATATATATATATATAAAGCACGTTAGGCACATGGAAGTAAGCAGAAACGTAGGGGAAGATATATGCCACATGAAGATCGCCAAAGAACTGAAGAACAGAAGTTAAAAAGAGAAAAGGAACTTTCCCCAGAGCTGACAGAGAGAGAAAGCCTTCCCCTAGAGTCAGGGTCCTGAATTTGGACTTCTAGCCTCCTAAACTGTCAGAAAATAAATTTCTGTTCATTAAAGCCACCCACTTATAGTATTTCTATTATAGCAACACTAAGAAACTAAGACACCTACACACCTGGTACCCCAGAGAGCCGGGCCCAGCCATGCCCAACCGCCTGGAGGGAAGGTACAGACCAGTAGAGAGGAGCCTCAGGTGTTTCCTCTGAATATGTGTCCGGAAAATCCCACTGCCGAACTGTGATTTTGGAACTGGAAGACCGAGGTTTAAGACCAGCTCCACTACATCCAGCTGTGGGGCCTTGGGCAGGTGCTTTCCCTTCTCTGGGCCTTGGTTTACTCCTCTGTGAAATGGGAATTATGGCAACCCCTACCCCATCAAGTCGTAATAAGTGAGGACACAGCAACACAGTGGCTGTGAAAGGGTTTTGTCAATTGTGCCATCAATAAAGGGTGCCCACTTCCAGGTCCTCCCAGGGCTAGTGGTCCCCAAAATCTGAGTGGGTGGTGCAGAGTATGTATATAGACCCATCAATGTGAGGGCCCAGGGACACTGTCAGCATGAACTGGGCTTTTCTGCAGGGCCTCCTGAGTGGTGATAACATGAACTTCATGGCGCTAGTTCACACCTGGCTATCCGTGGTGATGTTCTTCTGCCTGCTGGTGTACGTGGTAGCTGCCAAGGAAGTATGGTGGGATGAGCAGAAGGACTTTGTCTGCAACACCAAGCAGCCAGGCGGCCCCAGCGTCTGCTATGACAAGTTCTTCCTTATGTCCCACGTGTGCTCTGGGCCCTGTAGTTCATCCTGGTCACATGCAGCTCGCTGCAGGTGGTCATGGGTGTGTTCTACGGCAAGTACCGTGTGAACTCCAAGAACCACAAGGACCTCGAGGCACACCACCACCTGAAGCACAGGTACAATGCCCTTTTCCTGTACGATGCGGGCAAGAAGCTCTGGTGGCCATACTTGCTGAGTCTCATCTTCAAGGCCACCGTCAACTCCAGCTTCCTCTATGTCTTCCATCACCTCTACAAGGATTACGACATGCCCCGTGTGGTGGCCTGCTCTGTGGCACCATGCCCCCACACTGTGGACTGTTACATCTCCTGACCCATAGAGAAGAAGCTCTTCACCTACTTTATGGTGATAGCTGTCACCTGCATCCTGCTTAACCTCAATGAGGTCGCCTACCTGGTGGTCAAGTGATGCCATAAATCTCAGAGTAATTAATCCAACATGTGCCAGAAATATGTCCTCTGTAGGAAGAGCGCCCTCAAGCTGAGAAGGACAAATTGGCCCCACTGGGTACAGGTGGGTACACATAACCCGCAAGGCCAGCATATAGGATGACCAGGTCCCCCCAGCCCGCTCCCAGGCCACCCAAGAAAATGAAGAAAGGGCAGTGGCACCTCTTCTGTAGCAGGGAAGGTCAGGAGGGTAGTTGTGGGGGCCCAGAAAGCTCACCCAGGGGCCAGTGTCTCAGGCAGTTGGGTCCCTGGATCCTGAGCCTTCATGGGAGGGTGTTTGATGGGGATGCAGCTAGCTGGCTGGCTGGGATTTTGTGTATGGTGATATGGTATGTCAAAACCTTTAATAAATAGGATTTTCCCAATACTCTACAGACTACCGTATTTTTCACAAATAACATGCCCACATACATAATGCAACCATACAACACGCATAAGGTGCCTAGGAAAAGAAGGCGCGAGGGGGATACGGGGTTGGCAAAAAACCTATAACATGTGCATTATTTGCATAAAAATACATTAGATGGGAAGTGGGGGGTAGGGAAGCAAGGGGATTCACAATGGAAACCAAGACCACTCGATGGGCGACTGGGCCCCAGAACCTCAGATCTAGGCTCACGATCCCCCCTCTAAGACACAGAATGTGTCCCAGGAAGTGGTGGGGAGGGTCCAAAGGTAGGCGCAGCCTCAGGGGCTCTGGGCTCTGCAAGCAGCTGGCTGAGGTGGAGGAGAGAGACCCCAGGAGCCCCTGGGCCCAGCATGAGTCAGTTCTCAGTGGGTGTCCTCAGATGAATGCCTCTACTGCCCGCTTTCTGGTCTCCCTAACCTGCCCAGCACAGGTCCCAGGAAGGAAAGTCCCCTCTGAGGGTGGGAGGTGAAATCCTGGGGGTGCTGAGAGTCTTTAGGAGGATGTTAGGGTGTGTGGAAGGCACATCCCCACAGGCCAGGGGCTCAATGAGAGTCAGCTACAAGGTTCTTTACGGATCATCAAGTCTGTGGAATTTCCTGTTTTTTTCACCAGATACACACTGCTGAGCAACCTTATCCTCCTCCACTATCACTCATACCCTGACAACGCCCCAAAACAACCCTCCAGCCAGGACCTGCCTCCGAGTCCCAGGGCCCAACACCCAGTGCCCACACATGACAACTCTCGGAAAGCCCCACAGACACCTCAACTCAGCAACACCCAGACTGAACTCACCGTCTTCCCCCAAACCTATTCTCCTCGCAGACTCCCCACCCACCCACCGTGAACAGTACCGTCTTCCACCCAGATGCCCAAGCCAGAAGCTGGCATATCATCCTCGCCCCCTCCTCTCTCTCAACCCTTCACACCCCACATCCCAACACAACACCAAATCCCACTGATTGCCACTTCTCAACCAGCCTCTCCTCCCCAACCCACAGCCTTATCGCCTCTAGCTGGGCCTCTCCCATTTGCCCTCCACTACTGGGCACAGAGTACTCTGTCTATAATCTGACCATACCATTCCTCTTGCTTTAAAATCCCCCTTCATTTCCCTCAACGCAGCCTCTGCTGACCTCCCCAGCCTCACCCTTTGCTTCCTCCCGTCCTTTTAACCCACCAATAACACCAAAGGGCTCATGGTCTCCCAAACGCATCATGCTGTGTTATGCCTGGTGCCTTTGTACATGCTGTTCCCTCTCCCTGGAATGCCCTTCCTCCCTCCTCTGTGTACCTCACTGGACCCTCAAGAACAGCCTCAGCCACCTTCTCCTGTGAGCCACCCCAGCAGTGCCTCTGCCATTTTCAGAATCAGAATGGTTGGTCTCCCCATCAGTCTGAGCCCTTCAAGGTGTTAAAATTAAATAACTTCCAAGAAGGCTGGGGAATGCCCCAGGACTTCAGGGGGTCTTACCATTAAATTGCTGTTGTTGTTGTTATTAGGTGCCGTCGAGTCAGTTCCAACTCATAGCGACCCTATGTACAACAGAACGAAACTCTGCCCAGTCCTACGCCATCCTCACAATCGTTACGTTTGAGCCCATTGTTGTAGCCACTGTATCAATCCATCTCATTGAGGGTCTCCCTCTGCTTCGCGGACCCTCTAGGCCTTAAACCAATCTCATTACTCTCCCAAGAATGTCCCTTTTTGTTTTCCCAGCCCCTTC